AATTTATAGTCATATATTTATGAGTGCAGTATTTTAGTATTTTTTATTTACCATGTCAGTTTTTGCTATTAATATCTGAGATTATATTTGTTTATTAAAATATATAGTCATAAATATCTGTTTGCAGTATTTTAGTATTTTTTGTTTACCATGCCATATTTTGCTTTTAATGTCAGCAATCATATTTGATTATTCAAATTAAGTCATATATGTGCAATATAGTATTTTTATTTACTTTGGTATTTTTTGCTATTCAACAATCATTGTCTGTTAATTATAATATTATTTAGTATATTTTTAGTATTTCTTAAAAAATTTATTTTTTTCTTTCATAAGCATTTTTGAAATATATCATGTTATTTTATTTTAGCTACATGTATTTTCTGTTATTTTCTTATTTGCTCTACGCCTTCTATTTGCCTAATGTCATCTCGAAAAAAGTATATATAGTAATATTTTGGTATTTTCCACGCATTTCATTCAGTATTCCTTTGTATTTTTCAAGTATTTTCTAATTTAACCCATCAGACCTTTCATCTCTTTTCATGCTAGTGATAACTCCCATGATAATTTCCATAGAGATTCAAATTGAAAGTGCATCTGCTTTGGATTCCCATGCCTTGGATGATGAGATGGCCACGCGACAGCTGCCAGTGCGCAGAAAAAAAATACGAACGAATATGAAAAACCATATGGGAAAATGTGCCAAAAACAAAAAAAAATAGAAAAGAAAGAAAACAACACACACACACACATACATACATACAGACGACTTCACAACAATCTGGTCACGCACATATGCTGCCAGTTCCCAGCCAACAGATACTTCATATATTTTATACATATATGTATGTATGGATGCACTTGATGCAGCGCGCAGCAGCTGACTTGCAGTCCTTGCCCATAGCCGTAGCTGCAGCTAGCTGAGCATTAGAGTGTGGGAATTTCGCTATGAGAAATCCGAGTCGAACTGGAAGGCAGCTGCTGCCGCTCTCTGCTGCTGCTGCAGCTTCACATGCCGAGATCTATGCGTTAGCCGGCAGGTAGACGTAGGAAATGTGCGTGTGTGCGTTTTGTGTGTGGAACATGTGCATAGAAATGGAAATGGAAATGGAGATGGAGATGCAGATGGAAATGGGAAATGGAAATGGGAAATAGATAGCAGTGCATTTTGTGGATACACAAAATCAAAGTCAATGCCGAATGTCGAATGTCGAATGCCGAATGTGGAGCAAGAGATTTTAATTTGCCAGCTGGCTTGGCGTTGCTTTAGTTCGTTTATGGGTTTCCGGTTGGGGTTTTTTTCCAGCAGATTCTAGCTGTTGTTGTTGTTGGAGCGGATGCGGCAGCAGCGGCACTTTCGTTCAGTTCAGAGGTCAGCACTAACGAGATCTGCTCTTAAGTCAGTCTTTTGTTCGGGCCCAACGCCCACAATTAGGGCACAACAACAACAGTTGTTGAGGCTCTCTCGTAGGTGTGAAAAGAGTTTTTTCTTTTTGTTTTTCTTCTAATACTTCTCTTTGTGCTCGCTCGTTTCGCCGTGCGTCTAATCATTCCAGGTAGGGGCTCTTGCTGTCTTGGGCTTCAAGATTGATGCATGCGCACGATAAGCGTGGGCTGCGATACTCCTTCTCTTTCTCTCTCTCTCTCTCAGTCTTTATCTATAAAATACTTATGAGCATTGTCTTAGAGCGTTGACAAGTTGAGCACTGCAGTTCAAGAGCTTGCGCAATACCATTTAGTTTTCATTGGAAAATGGGAAATAATAATGGGGAAAATTTGGTAAACTCATTTGGTTTGAGAGCCAAGTGGAACACACAATTGGATTTGCAGTATCATACAACTAGAACTAGCACAACTAGGCGCTGACTTGGTTCAAAAGAACTGGCTCAAAGTTCAAAGACAC